GCTAATGTGATGTTGAAGTTCATCATGTTTCGCGGCCGGTCCCAAGCCCGGAAAAAGGAGGAGGGGCCAAAGGTTTTTAGCCAAATTTATAGGAATATCTTCTTACAGTGCATTCATAAATATTTTAAAATAAGGTTTTGTACAAAAAGTAAAAAATGTCGGTGTATATAACAAATAGAACAGAATTATCTGAATGCCTGCACCATATTGTTTAAATAAGATTTGTAGGCCTTTCTGTCAGCATGGCGGAGAATCCATTTTACCTCGTCTTTGCATTTCCTTCGGCAGGCGTACATGCTCAGCTCAATGACCTTCAATATGAGGCCATTTTGAGTGTTCCAGATTGCTCAAAAGACCAAGATGATGAGCTGTAGGAAGAATGTGTTAGAATAATTCCGAGGCACGAAGTCGATCACGGAGGACCAAGCAATCACACCAGCACGAACACCGAGATTTGTTAACGAGGTTCACCGATATTCACCGAAATGGCTACATCCTCCGGGCTTGAATACGGGCGCTCCTCCCCGTGACATCGTCACAATACCGCACCCGGTCGCCCTGTGCGTTCCCGTGCAATTATGTTGGCTAGCCCCAGCACGCTTAACTTCCGAGTTCTATATTCCCTAGTTTCCAAGTCTGCACTTGTTGTTTTCCTGACAATAGTAATCTATCAATCCTATTAACCCTTAGGTCTTGATGTCACATTATTCAATTTTTTGAATTCCAAACAATTATTAAAATAAAATAAGTAATGATAATATTGAATTTCAAAGAAAATTAAATAATAAATAATATAATTTTATTCTTTTTTGCCATTTATTCATTTACTGTGGCATAATTAATACCTTTAAATCTATAAATCGAAATTCGACAAATTATATATCCATTATTATCAAAAAAAAATGTGAGGAATCCAAATATGTTTTTTAAATAAAATTAATTTTTAAAATTATTTCTCATATGCTGGAATCAATTGCTTCTTGGTGATGTGATTAGGATGAGAACTAATGAACTTTCTATGTTTGGCTAAGCACAAGTGCTTGATCTGGCTTCATTCATAATACAAAACAGTAGTAAAATTAATTCTATCAACTATAATAAAAGGCTAAACAACTATTAATACAAAACAGTAGAAAAATAATATTAATTAATTAGAAAAAATTATCTACTGTTGTCTAACATAAGCATACAAACATGTTAAAATCTACATACAGAACTAACTAAAAATAATAAAAAACAACAATTAAATGACTAAAACATCTATATAAGAAAAACTGTACTATTTTAATTAAAATACTAATTTCAATTATTCTAAAAGTAACCAAATAAATCTTACTATGTTAACAATCTAACATGTGACTAGGAGCAAAAAATATTAAATTGAGAACTATACTAAAACTCAAGTTATCCAAAATCTAGCGTTTGAAGCAAATTAATTCAAATTTGAAAACTAATGGCAAAAACAGAAAATAGACAAAATTTTGAATCTAATGAAAAAAGAATCACTCAAAAACATCAAATATCGTAAAAGATATAAGCAATTCAAAACAAAAACTAAAAACATAAAACGAGTGGAAAAACAGAAAAGAAACTTTCAGAACCCCTTTAGTCCCGGTTAGAAGTCCCCATTTGTGGCTTCAACTGGGACTAAAGGTCCCATTTGAACCGGGACTGATACCTGCCGAGCCCCGACCGGCGTCCTAGTGATACGTCTCCAATGTATCTATAATTTTTTATTGTTCCATGCTATTGTATTATCTATTTTGGATGTTTATATGCATTAATATGCTATTTTGTATTATTTTTGGGACTAACCTATTAACCTAGAGCCCAGTGCCAATTTTTATTTTTATTTTTTTTGCCTTTTTCAGTTTCGCAAAAAAGGAAAACCAAACGGAGTCCAAACGGAATAAAACTTTCGCGATGATCTTTCTTGGACCAGAAGCAAACTAGGAGACTTGGAGATGAAGTTGGAGGAGCCATGAGGCGGCCACAAGGGTGGAGGGCGCGCCCCCCTGTCTTGTGGGCCCCTCGTGGGTCTCCTGACCTAATTCTTTCGCCTATATATATACTCTTATACACCAAAAACATCAAGGTGAGCCACAAAACCACTTTTCCATCGCCGTAACCTTCTCGAAACCGTGAGATCCCATCTAGGGACCTTTTTTGGCGTCATGCCGGAGGGGGATTCAATCACGGAGGGCTTCTACATCTACACCATTGCCCTTCCGATGAAGCGTGAGTAGTTTACCACAGACCTACGGGTCCATAGCTAGTAGCTAGATGGATTCTTCTCTCTCTTTGATTCTCAATACCATGTTCTCCTCGATGTTCTTAGAGATCTATTCGATGTAATACTCTTTTGCGGTGTGTTTGCCGAGATCCGATGAATTGTGGATTTATGATCAGATTATATATGAATATTATTTGAATCTTCTCTGAATTCTTATATTCATGATTTGATATCTTACTTGCTCCTCAAGCTCGGTGAACTCCTCAAGGAGGAGTACGAACTGCAGAAGGGCATCAAGGAAGACGTCCAATATCTTCAAATAGAGCTGAGGAGCATGCACGATGCCCTCCGCAAGGTCGGGGATGTGCCACGGGACCAGCTCGACGAGCAAGTCAAGCTCTGGGCAAACGAGGTCAGGGATCTTTCATACAGAATGGAGGACACCATCGACAAGTTCCTGGTACGTGTTGAGGGCCCTGAGCTTGACGACAAGCCGCACAAGCTCAAACAGCTCGTGAAGAAGATGTGTGACTTGTTCACCAAGGGCAAGGCATGGCATGCCATCACAAAAGAGATCAAAGGCATCAAGGCCAGTGTCCAGGAGGTGGCTGCCCGGCGTGATAGGTACAAGGTCAAAGATGTGGTTCCTAATCCAACTGGCCCAATCATGGTTGACCCTCGCCTATCGGCTCTGTACAAGGACCAGAAAGAGCTCGTTGGCATTGATGATTCATTGAATGAGCTAACCGAGAAGCTAAGTGGCGGGGATGGTTATCTATCCAAGCAACTCAAGATACTCTCTGTTTTTGGATTGGGAGGCCTTGGCAAGACAACTCTTGCAAATGCATTGTATGATAATTGCCAAGCATAGTTTGATTGCAGCACTTTCGTTCCGGTAGGACAGCACCCTAGCGTGAAGAAAATTCTCAATGACATACTCAATGAAATTCATGGGAGAAAGTGCTGGGAGTTTGATGAAAGGCAGCTAATCAACAAACTCCGAGGGTTACTCAAGAACAGAAGGTACCCACCCTATTATGTAATTCAAATTCATCAAGTAGTTTGAGACAGTCCGTAAATTTTGTTCGAGATATTATACACCAGAGAACGGTTTGGATAGAATATGCTACTTCTATACTTTTTGAAAATATAGTAAAATATCATGTTTCCTTAACTTCTTTTCTATAATTTGGTTGGATAGCTAGTGACTGTCAACCGTTCTGCCATGATATATATAACCAACTTGCACAAGTCTCTCGTGCAATTTTCCTTATTCCAAATTTAGATTCCTTAACGAGGAGTATGGCTTTCATAGATCCTATTTTTTAAAGATATTGTACATACTTAGGTGCCTTACAAAATAGTTTTCACTAATTTATGATAACGCTTGTTTGTGAATGTCAATGGTAGGTACTTCATCGTTATTGATGACATATGGGATATGGAAATATGGGAAATAATCATGAAAGCTTTCGTGCGTAATAACCATGGAAGCAGGATAATTACAACTACTCGTATACTCGAAGTTGCCACAACGACCGGTGAAGTATACGAGTTAAAACCACTTTCTCATGATTTATCCAATGATTTATTTCATAGAAGAGTATCTATTGGTGAAATAAAACTGCCTAATCATCTGCCAGTAGAGGTATAGAATAAAATTTTACATAAATGTGGAGGTGTACCATTGGCTATAATCACAATAGCTAGTTTGCTTGTCGGTAAACCCGTGGAGCTTTGCTCTAAGGTATACACTTCAATTGGTTTTGGGCATGAAGAAAACAAAGACGTGGAGAACACGACAAAAATACTTCTGTTTAGCTATCATGATCTACCTTGTCACCTAAAGACTTGCTTATTGTATCTGAGCATATATCCTGAAGATCATCTGACTGAA